CGACCTTTCTTGCTACAGTTGTTAAGTGAATCGCTGAAGTTGATAAGTTAGTAACCCGGTGGTTAAGTGAATCTGGCTCCCCCATTGACTTTGCTTGTCAGAAGGTCGCCAAAAGTGATCACGTGACCCTGGGATGCAGCAACGGTTGTAAGTATGAACCAGTTGCCAGGCATCTGAATTTTGATCACATGATCGTGGGGATGCGGCAAAAGTCGTTAACTCTGAAAAACTGTCATAAGTCCCTTTTTTCCGTACTGTTGTAACTTAGAACAGGCACTAAATGAACTGTTGTAAGTCGAGTGTATATAAATTTATTGGCTGCCCAAGTCCAATGGACAAGGATGAGACAATGACGCAAGGTATAATCAATGCTAACAAGCTTGTTTGAAATAACCAAAGTTAGTATAAATATTTATATGGCTGCCTATCTTAAACCAAACTCTGGGGGAATTACAACCCAAGATAAAAACATAATATACAATTAAAAAAAACTCAGGAAAACCTGGTGCTATAGCTAAATTTTCTGATGCAGCCCACTCTCCTCCATTCCAATCTTCAGTAGTAGAGATATTAATCCAAGTTGCAAAAATCCAGTCATTAGATGCTAGCAACAAAACAGGAAAGGAAACTGTAATTTAACAGATGACTGCATTTTTGCAGCTAACATAGAATGACACTACTGTACGATACAGTATTTCATAAAACCAGTCTTGGACTGTTGGTGGTTCTTTCAATATTGCCACTTGGCCCCTGAGTTTCAACAGTAGACACCCAGAAATTAAAGTAGAGAGAAAATCTTTCAATGGGCCTGCTTACGATTTGGCTGTTGTGAATAATGTCATTCTGTTTCGTTTCACATTTTTAATATATCTCTAGTTCAGTGATGGCGAACCTTTTAGAGACCGAGTGCACAAACTGCAACCTAAAACCCACTTATGTATCGTCAGGTGCCGGGTGGGTGTGGCCCATTGGGGGGGTGGCCCATTGGGGGTGTGTGGCTGCGGTGGTAACGGCAGACTGGGCGGGACTAAAAAGTTCAATCAATTCCAACGTTGCAAGATCTTTTTTTTCCCCGCAAGAAGTTGAAATTGATTGATTGAACCCCCTTTTTTTTTTGCACACGGCGGTGGAGGCCTAAAGCGAAAAGGTTTTATAAAACCCAGCTAAACGCCTAGAACTGGGGCGACGGCGCGTGTGCCCACAGAGAGGGCTCTGAGTGCCGCCTCTGGCACCCGTGCCATAGGTTCGCCACCACTGCTCTAGTTTTTCACGATTTATACACCTGTATTTTATAACTTTAAAGTATATCGATGTTTTCAGTGCCCAAGAAATAGAAAACTCAACTTGTTTTCAGTGCAATTTTCTTAAATCTGTTTTTTTCAAGATCAGAATATTTAGTGCACTACTACAGAGCATTTTGGCTCATCACCATGGGGAAGAAACTAAGCAAGTAATATTTATTAAAACATTTACCATGGTTTGGTTACACCTACGTAGGACATTTATTGTCAATGACCTATACTAAGATAATACCATCACTTTCCTCTTTATCTAGCAAAATTTAAATTGGGAGTCTTCATTTTGTTTGTTCAGAGCATCACTGTGTTTCTTTCCATAGCTCCATACATTTTAAAGAAGCTGGACAGCATATGATAGTAAGAGCTTTGAGGGTTGCCTACATGGAAGACCAAGCTGGACTTTGTAAGCTTTGCTAAGAATGGACGATAGACAAGTGACTCCATATCCTGACAGATGGATCCTGAACATTTCCATATGAAGATTGTAGAGCAGCTGAAAAATAATTTTGACATTTTTCTTTCCATGTGTCAGAATTTTGTTCCTGCCTTCATGTTGGTGCAATCTTGTTTTTATTCAGAGTTTATAATCAGGTCTGATTTGGGAAAGCTGCTAAATATGCATTGGAATATAATTTTCTCTGAAGTATAAACAGTGTTGTCATTATACGATCTTCATGTGAAACCTTATGAATATATCCTGAAAGATTAAAATAAATGGAGTATATGTTCTAATAATAGTGTTCTGCAATATTTCCAGTCAGATCAGTTAAACTTGTTCTTTCATACTGCATCCTTTTCGTTAAGTTCTGACACTTCAAGATGAGAATAAAAAACAGCACGGTGCTTGAAGCTTTTCAAAAGATCAAAAACAGGTAATGCTAAGTTGAGCCAAAAGCAAAGCTGACTACTCTTCCTGTTCATCTTTTTTGTGATGATACTCAATTTTGTTAAGCAAACAAGCAAAAAAAAAAGGGCATGGATAGACAGAACAATTCAGATATAATTAAAATGTGGGCTCATCTAATGAAGCTGTTTGTCAGTCATAGTAAAGAAAGGAAGAATACCATACAATGGGGAGATAGGTACTAGTTTAGACATGACTTCCTTATTAAAGACAGGAATTGCAGCCGTACTGATCTGCCTGCTCCCAAAAATATTGATTTGAAATGAACCAAGATCAGAGTCAACCTACTGGTACTGTCTCCCTTGAGAGCAATAAAGAAATTAGGTGTAGCTTCAGAAGTTTTCTTTTTTTCTTTTTAAGGATTAAATTAACGGAGGCTAGGTCAGCATGATAAAACCTAACTGGAAGATGGCAGAGCTTAGTATCCAGATGCACAAATGTACAAAAAGGAGAAAACACTCTTTCACATCCATGTCAGCTTCTTCCAGAAATGAGTGATTGGCAGGCGCTTTCATTTCATTCAAAAAGCAGTCGGGGGTATGTGTATGAGGCTGTTTTCCTACTTTGAGTTCTCTTAAAATGGTGACAATCCCGAACAATATGTGAATATATTGTGAACATTTCCCTGAATGAAAGCAGCCATGGCTAAGTAAGCAATCTTTATCCTAAGAAAAGTGGTGTGGTCATTTTTAAATAGGGATTTCATTAGGTTCCATCAAAATTTGTGGACTATCTTTAGAAAATAAAAACTGGGGGAGGGGCTGAAATTTAAGGGTGGTTTTGTGTTGGAAGTGCACTTACCCAGTCAAAATATAAAAGTAAATTTGGGGTGGAGAGATAGAATAACAGGAGTTTCTTTTCTAGCAAATGGGTATAAGCATGCAGGAAACTGCAGTATAACTGTGAGTTTCCATCTTTTCTATTCCATTTTAGCAACCATTACAATATGAAAAGTCTTTCCTTAATTTTTACATAGGGCAGAAAATACAGCTAGATTAAAGGCATTATTCTATAATAAGTCAAGCAACTAAGATCATACAGATGAAACAGTATGTTCTCAAATTTGGTGCACTGTTAAAGATGTAACAGTAACAGTATAACAGTTGGAAGGGACCTTGGAGATCTTCTAGTCCAACCCTCTGCTCAAGCAGGAAACCCCATCCCAGGGGTAGGCAACCTTGGCTCTTTTATGACTTGTGGACTTCAACTCCCAGAATTCCTGAGCCAGCATGGCTGGCTCAGGATTTCTGCAAGTTGAAGTCCACGAGTCATAAAAGAGCCAAGGTTGCCTACCCCCTGCCCTATATCATTTTGGAGGGAGGGATGTGTGTGTGTGTTGTGTGTGCGTATTTTAATGACACGTGTTCTAGGTTCTGTATCTTTAGAATTTGTAATGCTGAAGTTGACTGTGCCAGTATAGTGATTGAACTGTTGGCCTAGTACAAAATTCAAGATACAAGAGAGAAAAGATTCTACTCCACCAGAGCCATGACAATTCAATGGATAACTTTGAACTAGTCACTCACTCTTCTCTCAACTTACTTATAGGGCTGTGGTGAGTATATAATGAAGTAAAGGTCTTGGAAGAAAAGTGAATATAAATCTAGCAAATTTCATTCAAGTGGTTAAACTAATGCAATATTAGTGTAACCACATTCAAGTGGTTAAACTAATGCAAATACAATGTTATTTCTGATATTTCTCACAGGGCCATTTAATTTTATGGACAAAAATGATGGAGAATCAATTGCTTAGTGAAGGGAGAGGTCGAATGAATATTTTGTCTCAATTTTAAATTAAATACAGTAATTAATGTTTTGCCAGTTAATTTGTTGCTATGGTAAGTTGTAATGTTTTCTAGATATATTTAAGAGTGCTAATAAAAACATTTTTTTAAAAAAAACATGCTTTTATTATGTCTTTGTTACATACTAACTATATGTTCAATATTCATCAAACACTAAAAAAGGGGGTACAAATATCGCTATTACTCAAGAAAAGATTAAGATGGTATCTTCTAGTCTTCAGAAAGTAAGAAAGCATTCACTAATTCATTGGCTTCTAGATAGTGTTCAATTCCGATCCCACAGGAGGATGTCTCCTAGACAGAAGTGGGGAAAGGAGAGAAAAAAAATTAACTTGTGGCATCCACAAATAATATTTATATGCAGTTTTATAGAAAATTAATTTGAAGGCTTCTGTTTAGATTCAGAGGGCTGTATCATCAGGTACAGATAAATAATTGGTTATAATTCAGCTTATTGTTCCATTCTTAATTGTTCTCTTTCTATGCACTCTCCCTTATGTAACCCACTAATTTTCTTTGCATCCAAAGATGCATACTCTTTCTCTTTTCATCCCTACCTTTTAGCTCCTATTTTTATAAGACCCTAAAATGCACTTTCTCCTGTTCTACCATGTTCCCATCTGTTCTGGTTCTCTGTTTTCTTTTTAAGACGAGGAGGGAAAAGTGCTACATTTCAACTTTGGCCAACATTCACTGATCCTGCTTTGAGTGGCAGCTTTTACAGCCAAAACTACTTGCATAGCGTGCATGTCAATGATTGTGGGCTGTTTGCAGAATGATAGTCTGGCAGTCATATGCCAGAAAATGTGGCATCAATTGCTGTACTTCTCAAACACATGGAGTAGTTCTTGGAAAAATGTAGGATAATATCACATACTGTAGAGCAGGGGTGTCTAACTTTGGCAAGTTGTGGACTTCCAACTCTCAGAATTACGTACCTAGCCAGCCATGGGAGTTAAGTCCACAAGTCTTAATTTTGCCTCTAGTATAGAGTCTCTATACTACAAATACAATGAGAAAAGGAGTTGTGATTGGCTCACAATCTTTTATTTTGGCCTGCATTAACATGTTTCAGTGCAGTTAAACAGGTTAAAGGCACAAACAGTTACGATACTGCAATAATAAGAAAGGATGCTCCAGTCTCCCCACTACCACCACCACCTTAAGCAATACGAGATCCATGTATGCTACCAAGTCCCCTAACCTGTTCTCATTACTGTGTGGTCTAAGCATTTCATTGTCCCAGCAAGTCTGTCAGCTTTCTCTCCCATCTTTTTTTTTTTTTGAGAAAGTGAGCCAACCTATCTGCCTTTACAGATATTTCTGCATTGAAATCCATCATGTAAATTATGAAGTTGAGGATAGCAATCCCCAATTACCCAAAAATAAATCACTGCTGCAAAAGGTCTCATTTCTGAGATGCTTCAGAGATCAGGAGATGGCCATAGAGTGGCTATTTCCAGCAACGTTTCCATAGTTCCTACAATGCCTTGATTTTGCCTATAGTGAAATGTACATTGATTCTGTTTGACAGCACTAGGCAAAGGATACCTACTAATTTCCTTTTTAAAAAGTTAAGAAACATACCCAATGTAGGATAAAGTTCTTTCAGTGGATAATTCCTGTAACATGTGCAATAATGGTGTGGAAACTGCAACCGTGTGCTTATAAATATATCACGGTGGTCAAGATCTGTTTGCCTTTAGGTTAAAACAGACTTGTAAGCCTTTCCCCCCTTTTTCATTTTATTATGCCATCCTTGTCTATGAAAAAAAAAGGCAGGCATTTACATTCATTTAAAAAGGCATTTCTACCAACAAGAAGGACTAAAGGGATCAAGGTTACCTTACTACTTTGCGTCTTCTGATGCTGGGAAGTGATCCTTCTTATTTTTATTCTGGTGTAGGACTTTAATAGTCCCCTCTGCCTGTGTTTCTCCCACCATATTTGTGGCATGACACTGGTAAACGCCCTCATCATCTTTTGTCAGTGGATTAATCTAGGGGAAAAACAAGCACACGAAACATATTCTTTGGAGTCTTCTTTCTTTCTTTCTTTCTTTCTTTCTTTCTTTCTTTCTTTCTTTCTTTCTTTCTTTCTTTCTTTTTGCTCCTATAATTGCAGTGTGATTGTGTTTGCATACCCGTAATCCTTTTTTATATTGTATTCAATAGAATACAATACAGTACCTCTTTCTAACAGCACCATTTAGTGAACTTTTGGGTCCAGCAGTTCCTTTGCTATTTAGGAACAATAATTCTTGTTAAATGGTAAGTCTTCTCCTTGTCTGCCAAGTATAAATACCGTTTTGACCAGTCCAGAACAGACTTGATAATTTCTTGGTGATCAATTGGGAAAAACAACCTTGTCTATTGTATTGTTTATTATTTCAAGGTATACAACTCCTATAAAATTAGTAGCAAACATGACATGTACAAAGTCCAATAAAATCAACGGCAATCATCATCAAAGATAAAGGCTCCCTAAGTTAAGATCAATGGTGGGTCTCTTGGCAAAAAGAGAGGTGGTTTGCTACAGCCTCCTTCCTGGCTGCTTTTGTGTTTCCTGTGTTAGCCTACAGCTGCAGGCTCTATGCATGATCCTCCATTCAAGTATTGGTCTTTAATGTGTGTCACACATTAAAGGGGCTTTGATGGCACCATTGTGCTGTCATCTTGACTTTTTTGATCACATCCTGAGGACATGTTGGTTTGACGGCTTAAAATTTCAAAATTAGACAATGACAGCTATGGGCAATTCCCCGTAGACAAAATTGTTATTAAGAGATTTTTCCTGAAGATAGAAGGAGTTTATTTACAGTATATATAATTAATTGGGTTTTTATTGTAAACTTTATGATTTTATTATAAATAGAAAGTTATTTATTGCTATGTTGTTACTTAGTTTTCTATAATATTACAATCAACTGTCTTAAAGTGGCCAAGTTTGAGGACACCTGGTCTAGGAAGATATTCTGCATTACTGAAAATGGTATTGACATTCTAATACATACTAAATCTTCAAGTAAATTTTTATCAATAAAATGACTTGGGTTTGGCTAGTCCAGGGGTAGGCAACCTTGGCTCTTTTATGGCTCGTGGACTTTAACTCCCAGAATTCCTGAGCCAGGCATGCTGAGGGAAAAGGGAGAAGTTTCCAAGCTGAGCCATGCTAGCTCAGGAATTCTGGGAGTTGAAGTCCACGAGTCATAAAAGAGCCAAGGTTGCTTACCCCTGGGCTAGTCTAAAGAAAAGAAGAAAGGGGAGACATGACAGCAGTATTTCAGTATTTGAGGGGCTGCCACAAAGAAGAGGGAGTCAAATTATTCTCCAAAGCACCAGAGGGCAGGACAAGAAACAATAGTTGGAAACTGTTCAAAGACAGAAGCAGCCTGGAATTAAGGAGAAACTTCTTAACAGTGAGGATAATTAACCAGTGGAACAGCTTGCCTCCAGAAATTGTGGGCGCCCCATCACTGGAGGTTTTTAAGAAGAGACTGGACAGTCACTTGTCTGAGATGGTATAGGTTCTTCTGCTTGAGCAGGGGGCTGGACTAGAAGACCTCCAAGATCCCTTCCAGCTGTATTCTATTCTATTCTAAATTTTAATGTTATATATTGCCATTTTATATCACAATATATAATTATTTTTATGGGTTTTTAAATATATTATTAACTTTCACCAGCTGTAATTTCTATGGGAAAAATAGGGGAAAAAACAATGCAGTTTGAAATATAGCATCAGTAGAAAGATGTGCTTGTCACTAGAATTCAATTAATAATTGAAGAAAAAATACAGAAGGAAATACTACTTCATACATAATATATTTCAGTTTTATGGGTTGCTCAAGTTCAGATTTCCAAGCAGAAAACGAGTTTCAGCACATTACTTTGTGCATATCCCAAGTGGGATATGTGTGTAAGGATGAGAGTAAGGATGAATACTCTTACTGTCAGTGAAAAGGCACTTGAAAGAGAATTGCACACTTGCTACAAAACCTAAAGTCCTTTTGATCTTTCCTTACACCAATGATATCCTTTAAGCCAGCATAACAAATAGAACGAATAATGGTGGAGATCCTGTTCCACCCATAGATGCAGAAGCTGTAGTTTCCATACTTGCCTCTAATATCCTTTTAGCAGACCCAGGACATTTCTAGATGCAGCAAAGCACCACTGCATTTGGTGGAGCTAATACTTTTAGCCCGTTCTTTTTATAAGAGAGAGTTAAGGAACTTCGAGAGGCAAAATGGGTGCTTTAAACCACGCCCACTCTAAGCATCCATTTTATGCCCTAATACTTCTGAAACCCTGCAACTGAGTCAATTATTCCCAGTTTTATTGTTTCATACTTCTAAGAAAGCACCCTTCCCCATAAAATCCCAATCCTACAAAGCTTGGAAAATTTAGCACTGCTCATTTGCAAGTTGTATCCACAGTGGCCCTCAGAGGGCAATCTCTCTTTCTCTGTGTGTGTGTGTGTACTTTTCTATGTTTCAGCCAGGATTATACACAGCCTTTGGCTAAATTTCAAAATCTGTCTAGTTGCAATCAAATCAGTTTCTGGCATGGGCAACCTATCTATCTCCTGACAGTCTGTTGAAAAGGGTAGGATCATGATGGTAGGAATAAATGGAATGACAGAATAAAATAAAATAAAGAGATAAAACCATTAATGCGCTGGAGGGGCTACTAATTGACAGCAAACCCCACCTTCCCCCTCACTCCATGCTTTCCCACCCACCCATCTTTTATTCTCATATCACTATATCCTTATTGTTTTCTTTTTCACTGTTTATTCTATTGTTCCATTGCTTTGCTACTGTTATGTTTACACTTCTTTTCATTTCTCCGTTTTTGTTGTTGGTGGTGTAAGCTGCCTAGAGTAGCCCCACAGTGAGATAGGAGGCAAATAAATTTGACAAATAAATAAATTTGGCTTTTATACCACAAATGACTGGGTTTAATCACACTCACTGATGATATACAATTCTAATGGATCATTCACCAAAGAAATGAGATCCTACACAGAACAATCGTTCCATGTCCCTGTAGCTGCCCCATTACAAATTGCCTTCTTGCTCCTTCTGACGTACTTACCAAAACCCAACCGGTGCTCTCATGCTTAGAAGGACCACCTCGAACCTGAACAGCCATGTTAACTCTGTCTCCGGGCAATTCCTCCAAGAGCCTAACTCCCTTTGGGGACTCAGTGACCTGTGGAATTTAATGAAGACAGCATGTTTGAAAGAGATTCATTGGCTTAAAATTATTTATATATTTTATTCAAACCTTTTTATGTAACAACTTGTAATTTTAAAAAAATCTTACGGCCTTGTTCAATGGAGAATATTTGTCACTCAGAGTTGAAATGACAGGTCCTTGGTGCTTTCTGAGCTTAGTTATTTTCTTGCTTTGTTTAATATTGTGCCTCATCATAACCTTACATTCCAATATTTATGACAGTGGTGGCGAACCTGTGGCACGCAGAGCCCTCTCTGTGGGCATGCGTGCCGTCGCCCCAATCCTAGGCCTTCAGCTGGGTTTTATAAAACCTTTTCGCTTTAGGCCTCCGCTGCTGTGTGCAAAAAAAAAAAGGTTCAATCAATCAATTTCAACTTCTCGTGGGAAAAAAAAGATCTCGCAAAGTTGGAATTGATTGATTGAACTTTTTAGTCCCACCCAGTCTACCGTTATTACCAAAGCCACGCCCACCCAATGGGCCATGCCTACCCAATGGGCCACGCCCACCCAATGGGCCATGCTCACCCAGCACCCGATGATACATAAGTGGGTTTTGGGTTGCAGTTTGGGCACTCGGTCTCTAAAAGGTTCGCTATCACCGCTCTATGACACTTTATTTGCTATAGCTATTGTACTGCTTTTCCTAGCCTACCGTAACTCAAGATTCCCCTTCCTGGGATATTCATAGGCTTAACCATCTAATGTAGGGTAGACAGTTAGAGGTCTTTGGGCCACTTTTTTGCATCCTCTGAGCCCCTTCTGGTATCTGCTGCCAAAAATCAAGAGCATTATGAGAAAGGAAACACAAGACATTTGTTGTGCAAGTCCTAAAATAGCCACAATGCAAAGATTTATTTAAAAAATAATAGAGAAGGCTTGCCATACACATGTTGTATCTTTACCTCACTCACTACAATCCTTCAAAAAGGGTGAGAATCTACCTCTATCACACAACAGTCTCTTCTTACACTGTATATTCAAGAATAAACAGAGCTCACTATCTTCAGGACTTCAATGCTTTTGTCAGCTCCAGCTAATTAAGGATAAAGAAAAAATTGTTAATACACCCAAATGAGGAGCTGCTCTGCACTCCTGCAGGATTTTAATGCAACCTTTAAGATCCATTCTTTGAATTGATCTTTTTTGAGTTCTAGAGCACGGATGTCAAACTCGCCATGTCATGTGATGTGATGTATCACGACTTTTTTTGCATTGCTGGAGCTGAAGTGGGCACGTTATCTGTATGATACAACTGGCCCGCAGGCCGGCTGTTTGACATCCCTGTTCTAGAGGATCCAGGATAAGATAACCTTTATTGTCATTTTTTTACTGTGGGCACAACGGCACACATCAAAAATGAAATTTAGTTACCCGCTCTCAAAGTGAAACACATACATGAAGTACACCTAAACATACTATGAACAACATATGTATAGATCCACATCCCTACATATACGTAGCAAATAAATATTAAATACTGTCCATCTTGAATATATAACGGAAGGAGGAAGCTTGAGAGTTCATAAGGTTAATGCTGTATGGAATGAAACTATGGCTGAATCTGGATGTTCTGCTTTGGATACCACGAAGCCTCCTCCCAGAAGGTAACAAGGAAAACAGGTTGTGAAGAGGATGTGTAGTGTCCCACAGCGCTTCTGTGCTATGTCCTGGATGGGAGGGAGGGAACTGCCAATGACCTTTTCGGCCATTCTCACCACTCTCTGCACCGCCTTCCTGTCTGAAACCAGACTGTGATGCTGTATGACAGGATGCTCTCGATCGTCCCCCTATAGAAAGGGGTCAGGACAGGGGAAGGAAGATGTGCTTTTCTCATGCGATGCAGAAAATGCAGGCGCTGCTGTGCCAGCTTCACCAGATCACAACCTATTCCCACAAGTTAGATATTGCTTTTGAATCAGAAATATGCCTGGCATTGATGTAGCTGCCTGATTCAACCAACTGGCATCTTGAAAGACCCTTAACCTACTTTCTTCCAAGTGATGATTGGTGTTGGAACTGCTTTCACTTCACAGGATAGATAGACTTGGGCTCCAGTTACATTGTGAATCGTTTTCGGTGGCACAACTATAGCAGGAGCTGTAAGAAACAGAGATATATAGCATTTTAGAATTACTGTGCTTCTATATGGAAATAAACAGATACATCTGAAGGCTGCACTTTTTAGCCTTGTGAGTTTTCATGGAATGGAGACCATAAAAATAGTTCCCTTAATGGTGGTTGCAGGTTAATTCTTTGCACTCATAGTACAATTGCCTTAAAGTTGTATTTCATTTGCTAGGGTGAAAATATAATGCTTAACAATTCATGAAGAACAATCTGGAGCCTTGCGAAGAATTTGGATTCTTGAGTGGCATATACATTAAAGATATGCAGTATATCTTTTTCATTGTCCCTTCTTCTGGGGCAACTGTAGAGATACATCAGGAAACACAAAGACAATTTAAGAAAAAAGCTGCAGTTGTCCAGGATGTGGTGCTGTTGCTCTTTCATGGAATTCAATAGTGCCTTCTTCATGAAGATTTCCTTAACTACCGGTATTCGGAGTTCTTAAATTCTTGTGCAAGAAAATTTCAGGGTCTGGAAAAAAATCAGACTCTTAAAACATGTAAATGAAGTATGAACATGATTACAGATGTACAAAGCAAGAATCGCAGCAGTGCCTGATCTGCACCATTGTGCAACATGTGAGTTTTAGGGGAATTGAATTATGCTCTGATCTGTTCCTGGTAAAAAAAAAAAAGAATTTTGAAACGAAATGTTCAGTCTGCTATTAAAACAGTCCACACTCCATTAAATGCAGAAACAGACAACCTGGAATTTCCAGATGTTGTTGAATTCAATTCCCAAGACCCCCCCCCCCTAACCAGTATAGCTAATGCTGGGACTTCTGGGAATTGTGGTTAAGCAACCTCCAAATTCCTAATATTAAATCATGATTCAAAGAAGGTAAGCTGGAACGTACTTATCAAGGCTTCTAACAGTTTAAATGGTTTGTAATATAAAAATATTATCTTCCCTAGTATTTAATATTTTAAAATACTTAGTTTTAGTATAATCTCCTGCTGTTAGTTTTGGTAAGGATTTAAAGAAAACTATGCTTCTGATGCATGCCTATGTCTATGTCTATGTCTATGTCTATGTCTATGTCTATTCTAGTCTGTCTGTCTGTCTGTCTGTCTGTCTGTCTGTCTGTCTGTCTGTCTGTCTGTCTGTCTGTCTGTCTGTCTGTCTGTCTGTCTGTCTGTCTGTCTGTCTGTCTGTCTGTCTGTCTATCTATCTATCTATCTATCTATCTATCTATCTATCTATCTATCTATCTATCTATCTATCTATCTATCTAGGTTTGCATGTTACTAAGTATTATTTTAGTAAAAGTGTAATTCTAAGCCTTTTAAGATTAACAGGCTTAGTGATTTTAAGACTACCGGTATGAAAACACACATTCCTCATTCAACTATGTTCTATTTGACTGGGTAACTTTTGGGCCAGGGGCTTTTGAATCCAATCACCTGTACTGGAACTACTATTGAAATGATTAAATGCAAGAAAAGAAAATTCCCAGATATTCTGCTATGCACCCCCCAAAGAAAAAAAATGGAATGTAATGAACAGCTGTTCTATAGTAATTCTTAATTCTATGCACCCAAGAGATGTTTAATATCAGGATTTTTCGACATTATCTTCTGAAGGTTGGGTAGGGTGGGGGAGTTCCAAAGCCAACATATGTGTGGTTTTCTATACTGGAAAGGATTATAACTCCATGTTTTTTGTTTATTCTCGAGTCTCTATTGGTTCTGGGACACCCAGGATCAATTGTCAGCAGCTATTCTTTACGTCTTATTTGGTAGAAGTGAAAATGGAATAAATATACATCCTGGGAGTAGTGACTGCTCTTTCAAACTAGCAAGGCAACTCAAAGGTTCACGTGTCTTAATCTTTCTATAGTTCCCCTTTTGATTTCACGCAGAGTTCCCTCTTAGCTGTATCTATGGCAACATTTCAGAATGATGGCAAGCCTTCTGGGATGGAGGGAGGAGGCTTGTAAAATTAAGCCAATTTCCTTTCAGCTTCCACAATTCACAAGGAATATGCAGACAGCCTGGATTTCCATTAGCACTGCTTCCTTTGCAGATGGCAATTATCACCCTGGGGGTGGGGTGGGGGGGTGGGGAGAAAAAGAGAGACTTCTGAATCTGCCTCTGAGAACACAATACAAAATCCCCATCTCCATTAGGCTTGGCTGTTTGCAACTGACATAGCAAGATGTGTTCCACACCTGGCATGCTGGGAGAATCCCAAACAGAAGATGCCTGCAGCTAAAGCAACGTGGAAGACAGGAATGCGTGGCTGGCACCTGTCCCTTGTCACAATGTTCTTTGAAAACGACGGGAAAGCGAGGGAGTGAAAGGCCATCTGTTAGAAGAACTCCCATCTGCAACATCTCAAACGAGAAATTAATGTTTGTGGTAATTTTATTTAACTGCCTCTTTCAAAAAGGTGAAATGTCCCATCTACTAATTTCCGTTAGATGCCAGCATTACAGGTAGCCATTTAGCAGTTATAATGAGGATAGAAAAGAAACTTTGCCACCAGTCTTTGCATGTACAACTTTCACAAGTCTGTAAAGCCAAGGAAAACGGAAATAAGATCGTAAAATTGTGATGTTTCACTTAGCAACTTATTTTCTTAACAACCAAGTTGCTGATCCCAGTTGTCATTAAACAAGGAGTACCTGTATAGCTGCTGAGACTCTTCTGGTTCCTGAATTAGGATAACTAGGGAACACAACTGTTTACATGTGCTTTAATACAGGGTTGTCTGTTAGATGCACTGTACCTTTGGAGGTGAGGAGCAATAGCAGAATAGTTTTAGATTTTATTCTTTATAGCAGATGGCTATAACTCTTTATTTTACAGTTCTTACATACGTACTAGATTTGCCAAGTTTAATGGGCAGCAATGTCGTAACCACATTAAGTCCCTTGCCAATTCTTTTGGTGGGCAAAAAAGATGTAAACTAGACTGACAAAGAATGAAATCCAAATGGTCTGCAAAAATGTGACATTAGGCAACAGATTTATAAACAAATCTCATTATCTAGAATCAGGTAAGAAATAGGGCATGGATACTGGAGTAGAAGGGACAATGGAGGTCTTCTAGTCCAACCCCTGCTCAAGCAAGAAACCCTATACCATTTTTGACAAATGGTTGTCCAATCGCTTCTCAAAAACTTCCAGTGGCGGAGCATCCACAACTTCTGGAGGCAAGTTGTTTCACTGATTAATTGTTCTCTCAGGAAATTTCTCCTTAGTTCTAGGTTGCTTCTCTCCTTGATTAGTTTCCATATATTGCTTCTTGTCCTGTTTTCAGGTGCTTTGGAGAATAGACTGACCCCTTCTTCTCTTGTTTTATAGGCCTGAGAAATCATGTATTCTCCAGTTTGTATCAGGAGTTCTTTGTGACAGATAAAATTGATTTTCATCTGTATGGTCATAGTACATGATAAAATCAACACGATTAGGATCAACAATATTGTTTTAGAAACTTTTAGCCTGCAAGAACTAACAAATATATGATAAAATCAGTAGTTTTTAAGATGTCATAAAACTTGCTACATTTGCTTTGGCAGACTTAATAGCGCTTCCTTCTAAATCAGTGTTTCTCAACCTTGGAAACTTTATTTAAGATGTGTGAATTTCAGCTCCTACAATTTCCTAGCCAACTATGTTAAGGTTGAGAAAACACTTCTCTAGACAGATGAACAATGACATCTTAGACAAGAGATGAAAGAGATGAGATAAAAAAGCAGAATCTATTTCTGTCAGTAATATTACTATGTATTTATTATGTAGGGAATTTGGGGGAAAGGCATCATTTTTAACAAAAAGTAGTAGACATTTATTAAGAATGTAAAAGAAAAAAAATGTAGAAAAAAATGCTACATTTTTCTGTTCATTGTTTTAAGTATTACATGTTCTATCCTTCCATCAAAAAAGAACAGAAAGGGGAGCTGTTTCAAAATACTAAAACACTGGGATATATAAAGAATCTCCATTTTCAATTACTTTTTCAAGGACACATAGATAACAGTAAGGTTTTGTTACAGCATTGGTATAAGATTCTATCTTTTTAATTAAGAATAACTAAAAAGAAGTAATAAACTATTTTTATCTTTGAGCCAGTCTGTCTGGGTCAGTCCGTGTAATTTTCTTGACAATATTTTCAGAAATGATTTGCTATTGCCTCCTTCCTGGGATTGGGAGAGAGTGACTGGCTCAAGGTGACCCAGGTGGCTTTGTGTCTAAGGCAGAACTAGAACTCACAATCTCCTTGTTCCTAGCATGGTGTTTTAACCACTATACCAAACTGGCTTTCTAATAAACAATATGGCATGTAAAATAAAGAGCTAATTGAGATGACGGCTCAAACTGATAAAAATGTAGCTTTTAAAAATCAAATTCAAATTCATAAAAAATATAGCTTAGAGGAAATAGCTCTTGCTCATGACTAAGAATGTGCTATTTCTTCTAAGCTATATCTTGTCAAACAATAATAATAACCAACGGACATCTTTGATAAATACCATCATAAATTCCTTTAAATAAAGACAAGCCATGGTTATAATAAATAATGAGCTTGATTCCTGTATTTTAATAAAAGGATTGTGCCTAGATTTGTCCCCTGTCTGTAACTTGGCAGATCATTTTATCCACCACAAATCCAATTACAAGGATGACTTTTCCACACTGCCATTGTTATCGGTTTGCTTTGTTCATTATCTCTCCCATATTTTCTGCATTTCCACAGGAGCCAAAATAAGTGGGATTTGCCCAGACACCATTTATTCATCTACAGACCTAAGCTTCACAGATGTCAATGCAATTCAGTCTAGGCAGAATTTCCCGCAGATGCTTCACAAAGGCTGGGTACAGCCTAAATGGAAGCAGCTAGAACGAGTACTCAAACCTAGAGAAGACATGCAAATCAGCATCTTGTCTTGAATCTCAGCCATTGATTAAAGACCTCTTCCCATTCTCTCCCCCACCCCCAAATCTCCTTTCCTTGCTAAGTCTTGGGCTCATGGTTAAACTCGTTGAAAAAAATGATGCCAACCAATAAGAACATCTGAGTGAATTGTGCAGCCTTTTACTACTTTACCTGGTTTTACCCAACTCGATTCAGACTCCAAAATATTTTTAGTATTGTTAGAAGTCCTGGAAGAGCGAGGAAAGAAGCCTCTGAGTCACTTTCATATGAACTGAGCCTGTGGACAAAGCCTCACTGTGAAAATAAGAGATTCTAGCATAGAGCTCTACTTCATGTGTTGCAATCAACGTTCAGGGAGGAATGAGGTGTTTCTCTTTCCTCCATCAAAAACAAACAAAAAAAAAACAAAAAAAAACAGCCAGATGCTTGTTTCTTTCAGAGGAAGCAACAGAGGTGGATGAACTTCAGTTCATACAAGCCATTCAAACATGATAATCCATTATCATGATTTATCAGAATTAACTAATTGCCCAAGCCTCACGCAATCAAGGGAACTCTAAAGCTATAAATTATCCAAACACATTTTTAGTTTTTTGAGTTGTGTGAAGTCTGCCAGTGCTGCTTTTTGGAGAAGAAAGCAGCTGAGGTAAATAATGTATGCATTTGGTATACAGTTTTGTATCCTGTAGAGCCAAAATATGATTTTATATTTTGGCATAGTCTGCTAACTATAGTCAGCCAGCGTGGTTTATAAACAGTGGTTTAATGCTCAGGATACTGCTAGCTGTGGTTTGC